TCATTAGCTGTAAGCGATTATTAAAACAAATATTTTGTAAAAAGTATTTTCGTGGCACATGAAAAAAATAGATTAAGTTGGTCGCAAACGTCAAGATATTGAATTTAAGATTTTTAGAACTACATTTTTACTTATATTGTTCACCTATATTGTCACAAGATGGTGCCTTTACAAATACATAAGCTAATAAACTACATTACCTTAATGACATAAATAAAGTAAGTTTTTTTTATAATATATTTACTTTATTGACTAATCGCTGAGTTGTATAGAATCACGACAGTGCAATCGGATACACTACATTCCAATCGCTTTAAACAATTTGAGAATCCGCTTTTCGCTTGTGCATTACACCATAGTAAAACTTTCGCATCCGCACCACCCGAAACCCCACAATCGGACACGTGAAATGATCAACCGAGATTAGGCGACGGATCTTACGCTCTACTGACATCCAAAGGCACTTAATTTGGAGGGCTTCGCACAATGCGCGGGACGCAATGAATAAAATTCGACGAGCGAAAAGTCGCCGAGTGTAACGGCCACTAGATGTCGTGTAATTGAGTTGGTCTGCGACACTTTTATCACATAGTGTTGTCTTTTATCGATACTTCGTTTATTTATACTAAGAAAAAAATTGTCGATTGTAATCAACGAACTTTATAAGATTAATGTAATGAATCGTATTTTCGCTTGTATGTGATTTTTTTAAGTTAATTAATTAATTTATTTATGATACACCAACGGGTAAGTAATAAGACATGCGAAAACAAATCTTATTACAGAAACAGAAAACACATAATAACTTATCACAATTAAAGGTGTACACATCATGCGAGACTAATGATGAAACAAACAAACGACAACACAAAAACATAGCTAGATGCCAAGTTTTAGACAAACCTTTGGTTTAAATATAAATTCTAAGACGTCAACTATTAACGATCTAAAAGTCAAACAAAACATTTAATGCCAACAAAACTTACTAAACATGCTTCCAGTCGACGCAGCAACGGATCGAAATCATATCTAAGAAACATAGAAGTATAATTAACAAACTTTTATAATAGATAAGGAAATATACCTAAAAGCTAACGATATCTAAGCTTGGATTGTGTTGTCCTTCAAAAACATGTGTACCAACAAATCCCTTACGATATTGTCACTCGCACACCACTTAATGTCACTACCGTAACATCGATAATCGATAACTCACAAGTGGCCATCACTGCGCCATTGTGAGAATTGTAAATAATCACTTATGTGATGGATTTGCGTCATCCACACAATATAAATGTTTTCATACAAACTAATTTATCTGATAAAGAAATTTGCATTCCATAGAAAAAAATGTTATATAAAAATACATAAAATTACATTTTAGACCTCTTACGCCTGGTGTAAATAAAGGTAGTCAAAATTTCCTCTATAAAATTACATCTCTTATATATATAAAAGAAAGTCGTGTTAGTTACACTATTTATAACTCAAGAACAGCTCTACCGATATGGTTAAGAATTGGCGAGGAGGTAGCTTAGAGCCGGGAGACGGACATACGATACTATTTATTCAGTTTTTTTCGAATTTATGCCCATGTTATAAATGCGAATGTTTAGCTGGATGTGATGTGGATGGATGGATGTTTGAAGATATCTCTAGAACTGCTGAACGGATCTCGATTAAATTTGTCATGCGTATAGAACATAGTCTGAAAGAATACATAGGCTATACTAATTAAGTTTTTTTTATATATCCACGCGGACGGAGACGCGGGCGACAGCTAGTATTATATACATATAAAACCAATAAAAAGGTAACATGCGTTAGTTAAAACTTTTGAAAAGTCTATTACTATGATCATTGTCTCCTAATGTTACTTGAAATGATTTAAGTGAAAGATTTTAAATAAGCACTAACTTAAGTACAAACGTAATAACATAGATATTTCTAATAGCATTTGTGTAATTCAAAAAATTAATTATATTTGCATAATAAACTTCGACAAATAACACAATGAAAGAACGCAATCACGTAATAAATATCTAACAACGAGTACTTTTACATTCGTTACAAATCAAATGATTATTAAATAAGAGACGAATCGAGAATTTACATTTCAGTGGCGATTCGATCGAGCGATCGATTTCGCTCGATTCGTTCACGCCCATTCATACAACAATGACGCAGTAAAAATATCGATTATGCATTAACTTAACAAAAAAAAGCAGAAAAAAAATATTTGCATGAAAATATCTATCGGCAACGGATTTGCACACCGAACAAAATGGTGCACAATGCGAGACAAATTTTTGTTAAATTGAATCCGTTTTGAACGTCAATCGTATTACATCGAATGAATTATAATAGTTTATTCACCGACCTTATGGTAATATTGGATACCGTACTGTCGACCGATTTCACAACTGAATAATGATTACATACTATCAAATACGCATTATAAAATTGAACATTTCGATACGATAGTAGCCGGTATTAGACTACATCTGCAATCATTCCTATGTTCGTTATTAGTAAATAAATTAGCGCTTGATCACAATTCCCACTCGACATGGATGTATAATCAGAAATAATTACAAACATTTTAATTGCTATTTATAATATAACTAGCGGACCCGACAGACGTTGTCCTGTCTACACGTCTTTCATTCGAATATTATTTAAAATTTTACACTGCGATGGTAGCGCCGTCTGTCGGATCCATTGTAAAACATTCCAAAATCAACAACTACTAATAAATTAAAAATTAATTAAAAAAACATTGTCCAGCGGACAAAATTGTGAATCTAAACCATTCCCAGATGCCCGTGAACACACACAAAAAAATTCATCAAAATCGGTCCAGTCGTTTGAGAGAAGTTCAGTGACATACACACGCACAGAAGAATTATATATATAAAGATTACCAAGACATATAATTATACTTCCTAAAATAGTGTCATAGAAGCTTATCTAGTGACTACATAATTAGTCCTACTTTCTCAGTCACTTGTTTCATTTTCATCTCAATTTGTATGTTTCCAATGTAACGAAATATTAATGCAATATCAAGAAACAAATTTGTAACGGTCTGTCGCGTTTTATTGTACGAACAACAACAATAAAAACATTTAAATGACAGCGAGTCGAGGCGATATAATCTGAAAGCTACCTGCATTCCGCACATGTTTAAATTTACATTGAGCATGTTCCATTCATATATTGGCTTGTTCGATGTCATATGCAAAAATCATTTAGAGGCATTTAAAAATTTCTTTCATAACAACGGTTGTACTGTGCGATTCGAATCGATGAATTGAATATATTATCGGAATATATTTTTTTTTGTTATGGGCAATAAAAATTGAATGCGTTCGCAGTTAATTTGCGTACGACACAATGCGGAGCGCGCGTTGCAACGTTTTATCGTAACACCTCCCGCCCTGGGGCGCGACCTATTGCCCTCGTGTCGCCAAGTTATTCAAAATTATAACAATTCAATTATTGAACATGTGTTTAATTCATGAATTTTTTTAAGCGATTGTCAATTTTTTTCGGTAGCCAATGCGCCAATTGTGGGATATTTGAATATGAAAAGGAATGACACGATCGATATGAAATCCGTAACGTCTTCGTTACGTATCGTTAACAAATTTGCATTTTGCTACCATTGTTGATATTATTGGATCATATTTGGATGATGGACGTATGATAATTTTTCGTATAGATTTGATTGTGTGTTCGATTTCTGTTAGAAATTGAGCGTATTCAGTTATTGCTCCTTGCGCTTTGCCTCAATACTTGAGAATGTTATTCTTTAATCTAGTTTCCGTTGTACGATCTATTGATGTGAAAATTTCTTGATATATTATATGTATCAGGCTCTTGACCTCAGATATTTTAACGGTCTCTTTAGTAATCGATATGTTATTGTTGCATTTATAATAAAAATCAGTTTGCGTGTGAAAATATGACCTTAGTGAGAAGTACCTATACTGTTATTCTAAGAATAACAAGATTGAGATTTCTATTACTTTTATATAATAAATATTTATAATTATGATAATAAATACTTTTTTCTGAAAATTTGACATTCTAAATTTATTAGGCTTTTAATTAAATGACATTACAAATATTAAAAATAATCCTATTATTTTATGTATAGAATCTGTAAATTTCTAACCATACTAGACTATCAAAACAAGAAAGAACATGTTTGATTGCCCGGTAGTTCTCAAAATTATCTTACTAACACATTTATTTCTGCATTCATCTAGTAACTGTAAGATTACTGGTAAGAAATAAATATATTTTAGAATACCTCATCTTAAAGGCACAAAAATTTATTACGATTTTTTTTCTTTCAGTTAGATGTATCCTTATTACTACTATCTCTTACTTTGAGATTTTTCGTTAGTTCCAATCTTCATTGTAAAATTTGTTCCCATATTAATAGCATTACAAAAATTCTAATTACAATTAAGATCTATTAGTCGAATATAGATAATTTAAAAGCTGTGTCAAGATACCATCTAACAGAGGCACAATATAAAGTAACTTATTTGTATTGCTCACACGGCATACAAAATGAAATATGTTTGTAAGAATATGAATATGATTCAGAATGTGTGAAGCGAGTGTGTACTAGCGGAAGCAAAACAATCTGTTACTACACAGAATAACGATCAAAACCTGCCAAACAAAATGATTCTTATTCCGGCGCAGCGGCGACGCGAGCGAGTCATAAATAAAACAAGAAGCGGTGCGGTGCGGCGATAGAAAGAGACCGCAGCGCGCGCAACCAATTTGCATTGTGAGGCGGCCGGCAAGCGCTTCGAATTCTTATTTCGAATTTTCGAACAGTCGGTCTCCTTCTGCATAATAACATCCGTAAGGGAATGGCAGTTGCTTGGCCAATGGAAGCGCGAGACGAGTTTTCGTGGGAGGACTGGCGCGCTGCGATTGGTCGGGCCGCGTGAGTTTATCACTCGATTTGTCGGCATCGTCGTCACCGCAGTCGCTTACGATTGTCGATTGTCGCCATTGTAGCGAGCCCGCGACGGACGCACGACGCACGACGAACGTGTTCGCGATACGCGATCGAATCGAGGGAATCAATCGTTAACCCATTTGATAAATATGAATCGGTCGTAGTTTGTTTTTACATTGAGTAGTGTTTGTTGTGGTGTGACTAAGGCGAAAGCGGACGACGAGGCACTAACGCAGGAGGAAGGAGCCGCCAACGTGGATCTGGAACTACACCAACGTGCCAGCGGTCACTTTATGAGGTAACTTTTTCAACTTTTTTAGTAACTGTTGTTTATCATTCGATTATTGTATTTTAATTCAGGCAATATTTAAATTTTATCTTATTATAATGAAATTTGAATAAGAAGGTAGGCAAATAAATATGTTAAATAAGAAACAAAGACCTTTTTATCATTCTAAATATACATATTTAAGCTTTTCGCCTACCTGGATCAATAATAATGTTTCGTAAACGGAATTCTTGGATTTTTTGTACCCATTTTGTTCTAAAGTGTTCAAAATTTGTAATTTATGTTTGTCTTTATATGTATATAATTTTTTAAGGCTGTGCACTCTTACATAATAGGTATAATTATTATAATAATCGTTTTCTAATAAGCAACTTGATGGCAAAGGAACCGACAAACTCACAAACACACAGACAAAAATATCTGCCTTAATTACCTGTATTTATTTAAAACAATTAACTATTTAGTGTTTGAATGGAAACATTTACGTAGATCTCACGCCGGCAGTGTACGTACACTCGGCAATTTTTATCCGCCACCATTTCAAGTGATTTAAAATTCGTGAGAGCTATTGTTACTGTGCTGTTTTTTAACCAGAACAACTGATGATACTATGTTTTTGTATATCGGCAGTGGAAACACACTGCAGGCAATGATATAGGAAAAGATATAAAAACAGTTGTTAAACCTTTCTGATTCCGTATCCTGCTATACTAATAAGTTTTGAACATTTAATTATCAATTATAGGAATAAGTTTCATCCAGGAATGAGGTTGGGGAGAGCTACTAAACCTCCGTCGGATCCGCTAATATCTATATAAAAATGATTACTGTCTCTTTCAAGAAGTAAGACAATATGACAGTGGCACTACATTACTATAACCGTGGGTTTCTGACACATGAAACTCTTTATAATGAATATCATCACCCCTATTACAATCTTTGACATAACAGAGATAACGATATAGTTTAAAAGGGGGTTCAGAAATCCACGGTAAGTTTACACATTGTTATGTTTTATATTTGAAATACAAGAACACCGATCTGTGCTATTTAAATGAAGAAGAGTTATCTATATTGCCAACAAATTAATTAAAAACAATTTACTTCTAACTAATATTATAAATGCGAATGTTTAGATGGATAAATGTTTGTTTGAAGGTATCTACAGAACGGCTGAACGGATCTCGATGAAATTTGGCATACATATAGAACACAGTTTAGAAGAACATATAGGCTAAATACTCGTATGTTTTTGTTTTAAGTCGTATTAAGACGGAGTCGCGGACGACAGCTAGTATAACATATGATTTATTGAGTACAATGTTGTATGTATTAAACACTAGTTACTTAACCACGACCCTCTTGCAAACCATTCAATTATTTATCATTCAATACTTATTAGAAATGATTTCTTATCAGATTGTCTGTAATTGGATGTAAACAAGACATGGAAAGCGATCATAATTGGAACCTATGGATTCTTATAATCATCACGCAATAGACATTTTACCTGATTAAACCAACCATGTAATGATACAAACTGGCACTTACCGTACATGGGTGATGTTATGTGTTGTTTTTTTTTATATCATAAGGTGGCAAACGAGTGAGCGGCCACCTGAAATCGCTGAAATAGCGAAGTGACCGTTGCTCATAGACATATGTAATTGTATATGCGTTGCCTGCCTTTAATCGACGGAGGAGAGAATGCACAGAAAGAAAATATTTTCCCTTTACATGCATCCTCTCATCCGGAAAGTCCACTTCCACTTCACATCCTTTCCTTGTAAGAAAAAGGGTGGGAAGGGAAAGGCGACTAAGTAAGGCCTCCGGGACGCGCACTCATCAGACGAAACGCGCAATTGCTTCCACTTGACGCCTGTCTTCTGTGTGGTCGTGGTATTTCACCGGGCGAGCCGGGCCGATTCGTGCGAAGATGTTAAACAAATATCCATCCAAACATTCGCATTTATAATATTCGTAATATCCGCTACGACTTGGGGTCCTTCAAGAAGCGAGCGTATCACCATCTCGGTTTTCCCGCTGCTCGTTAGTCCCCTTCTGTTATAAAAAAAACTGAACTATTAGACCAATAGCTTAGCGGTTAATATTTCGATATGATTTCTGATTTGCGGAGTTTGATTCTTAAAATACATTTTTTGATTTTAATTCGAAAAGTCAATTTTAAAATTCAAAATGTAATTTTTTATTTTAATATTATTTTAAAGGTTATTCATTGTTTCATTAGACTACAGTGGATAGATATATGAATATACTCCTTTACATCTTACTAATATTATGAATACGAATGTTTGGATGGATGGATGTTTGTTTGAAGATATCTCCGGAACGGCTCAACGGATCTTGATATAATTTGGCACAGATGTAGAACATGGTCTGGAAGAACACATACTCATTATTTTTTTAATTCCGCGCTGACAGAGTCGCGGGCGACAGCTAGTTTATAATAAAGAAGCCGTTATCATTCTGTTTACAATAAACCGTTTAAAAGTTGCTTATGAAAATGCATACGTGTAAGATATAAAACTTGCAAGAGTATGCAAAATTGGCCAATACCTTATAATACCAATTAGATGTGTTCAGATCGACTAATGAAGGCACAATCGTCCCATCTTTATTATGGAAGTCGTTAAGCCTTTATTATTTTTACACGTTTACAATAGTTGATGCTCTTTGTGGCGCGCCGACGGCCATTTTGATTTGCTCTTACTGAGTTATTGACCTTAAAAGTGCCTCATTTGTGAGATACGAGCTATAAATGTGTATAACATTGAATCACTGGTTTGAAGGCTTCGTGCTTAATATAAGCGCTAAGTCAGGTATAATTGAACACATCGAGTTGTAAACAGATATGCCCATATTTTGAAAACTAAAGCTAAATGATGTTTGATGGGGAGAGGGTTTAAGCAATCAGTGTTTCTGAGCGACTGACAATTATGATGACGTCACGATGTAACAGAGCAGCGGATTAATTATATCATCCCCATCTTTTATCTTGACAAAACAGAGAAAACATTGTTTTACATTTTGCACTCCGAAACCCACCGTAAGACAAACTGACATTAGACACATGAATAAAATAAGTGAATTCAAAGCTATACGAATATATTAAAACTGCATTTCCATAGTCGAAATATTAGTAAAAAAAGTAACATTGTAAATAGTTGCTGATTAAAATTATAAACATCTGTCTACGTCTTTAATTCACGGGATTATTATTTTTTTCTTGTTATTGGGTAAACACTACAGCATCGTAAAATCAATATTCTACTATACCTACAAAAACGATAAACTATTCATGTGTTACAATATTAAAATCTAACAGATATGTAAATTTATTGTTTGTTTAACCCAAATTTCGATTACACAATCACAAGCGCCATAGTTCCTTTAAAATTGCTGATAACTTTGACTCTAGTTTATAAATAGCGCCATCTATTAGCTGCATTTTAAAACAAAGTTTATAAAATTGAATTTACAAATATCTAAAACTATAAATTGCCTTGTATTTTTATACTACATTTCTCATCTACAATTTAAAAAGTTAAATTAAAATTCTTCCATGTATCTAACTGAAGATACAAAATAACACTGGCAAGGAGAATGTAGGTAAAGAGAGACTAAAATCACTTGAGAATTAAGGCCAGAAAAAGGTAAAAGACAGAAAATAAAAGAATTTTTTTAAAACATTAATTTAAATGAAGAGGAAAAGGCAAATTATAACTTTATAGAACAAAGAAAAAAGAAAAAAAATACTGTAAAGAAATGAAAGTTATTAATGAGTTTGCTTGAAGCAAAGAATCTAGTTCTTAAATACAATGATAAAATAAATTTATCCGTTAAATGGAACTATGTCACAATAATGAGCCTTAAAATGAGAAATTATTTAATTTATAAAATTTTTATTATATTAAAATAGCGTAGCAACATAAAGCGAAAAGGAATTTTAATAAATATATTAAATAAACCATGCTTTAAAGGAAAATTAAAAGATTACTGGATCTATTCCTTGTAGAATAGTTACCAACGCTAACAGAGTTTACACTAGGACATGTGAATTATTACTGTCTTCATTAGTCAAAGCTATTGGGATGTGCCATATTTAAAACTAGCCGTCCGCCCCCGCGGTATGAAAAAAGGAACTTAATTAGTAGCCTATGTGTTCTTCCAGATATGTTCTACATCTATGCCAAATTTCATCGAGATCCATTGAGTTATTCTGGAGATACATTCTTACAAACATCTATCCATCCAAACATTGGCATTTATAATATTAGTGAGACTAGGTTATCATGAAAGGAAATTTTACCATTACCACTTTACCACTATTTTACCACTATTTCTTTGGACATTTTAAACAACATTCTTTGAACATATCTTTCAAGATCTCCAGCATGCTAACAAGGTAATTTAGAATCGCTTCGTACTACGTGCTCAAGTGAAGATTGGAAATCATTTCTGTCGGTGATATGTTAAAACAATCCGTACGTCAGTAGTCGCCGCCGTGTAAACAGTCGTCATGCCCGTTTGCGTACCGTGTTAGCGCCCAGACATGCGCAGGCGCATTGTTCCTACAAATCGGACAAGTTTCGGTCAAAGAGCAATCATACAAATAATCTATACCTAATCTAAAAAGCTTCGGTAAAGGTTTAAAAAAAAATAATAATTACAATCGAAGTAAAAAAAAAACAATTCCAAATAATACTGGCCACAAAGTTGATTGTTACAGAACATAAATATGAAAACTTTTAGTAAAATCTAGGTCTATAATATAATTTCACGATATTTTCGAGCACTTTAACTACAGCAAATTGGTCTGAAAATAAGCAAGTAAGAAGCTTACAACTGTTACAAAAACATAAACGAAATGTAACAATGAATTTTCATGTTCAAAGCAACTTAAATTTATTACTAACCAAGATTTAAGTGGATAAGGCTTAATAGCTTTGCCAATTTTAAACGCATTTGAACCTTCTAGATGTATAATCTTGGTACATTGTCAATCCGACCGTCGGTTATTGGTGGGCAAATAAGAATAAAAAAAACCGCTTCGGCTCCGAATCGTAGCCGCTAACGAGTTAGACAAAGAGTCGTCTTGTTTGCGGCGTTGCTTGCTGCGACCTCTAAGATAGTAGTTTAAACAGTAGCTTGTTTGGACGCCGCGATGTTGCTGGCTCAATTCTCTTGTTGCTTTCGAAGATGAGGTGTCTTTGGAGTAAGTAAAAATTGGATGCGGTATTTGTCAAATCGACGGCTTACAATAGTTATAATTCTAAAGAACAACTGTAGATAAACGAAGCTAATACCAGGGACTCCAAATAATTGTAGAATATGATTTCAAGGTCACGATAAATCCCCTTTCCTTATATGAAAGAGAAAGAAGATACAAAAAGGTGGAGTAAACGAGACAGATATATTCGCACGAATTCGCACAGGCAAACAAAACAGTATTAGGGACTTCTATAAATCTTTATTACCCAATCTCTGCTTTATTTCGATTCGATTTAATTATTCATTTATCTTCTAAACAATATACTTGAATGAATGAACAAGAACGGTGTTAATTGTGTAAAAGTTCTGTTTCTTTTCGTTTTTATTAACTCGAATATACAAAGCCTTGATTAATTTTTACAAGCTTCGAATCGCACATCCGAATAATCGTATATCTGACTAGTCAGTCAACATGTCCGACCTCATCACTCACCAGTCACCAGTCAATCTGCGTGTTTGCGATGCGCGGTGCGCCGACACTGGACAAGTAGCTGTCTTGTTTCTGTTAGACTAACGCATTCCAAATTCAAATGTACGACAATCTAATATTTTTTTTGCTCAACTGAAAAGAGGCAAAGGCTCAACTTTCAGCCTTAGCTACACTTTTGTACCATATTTTGATAATTATGAGTTATTCTTAATGGTGTTAGATGAAAAAAACGAATTCAACTTTATTTTTAAATTTAATTGACAATGATGTAGTGAAACCTGGCATATAATAGGATTCGTAATTTCATATATTAAAACACGACCGTGTGGCCTAATGGATAAGGCGTCGGACTTCGGATCCGAAGATTGCAGGTTCGAGTCCTGTCACGGTCGAAAATTTCTTTTTGTCAATGAATTTGCAAAAACCTAAAAGTAAGTAAACAACTCATCAAATAATATCCTTTACTTATTGCTAGCTTATAAAATAACTATTTAACTAAATATTGAATTAACCACTAAACAATATTACTCACGGCTTATATATTACAAATTGCTTTTACTAACTTTAGAAAAAAAATCTTACATACACAGCCCAAGTAGCCATCAACAGAGAACGTAATTATCACCACACCACTAAAAGTCAGTAGCTGGGCACAACAAACTTGCAGTGTCTTCGGTCTTCGCTCATAAGACTTCGTCCTTGTCACACTCAAACAGGAAGATCAATATTGACTCCGCGAGGACAAACACAAGACTTGTCCTGAAGGCATTATTCCTAGAATTACATTCAGTATAGAAATATCTAGAAAGAAAAGTTCCATTTAAGATTTAATTTCAATTTGTCTTGACGTGCTGAAACATAATTGTTATCTTTTTATTATATCAAAGACGAGGAAAGAGATGGAAATACTGTTGCTGAACATGTAATAGTGAAAACTCATAGGAATATACGAATTTACAATATCTTCGAGTGACAACCCTATCTCGGCCGTGTTATAGGTATTATTGTAGATACACACAAATTCATGTTTCGTATTAATTATGAGAAATGGTTAAAATTAAGAATACATGTTTGATTTCAGACAGAAGCAAATTGCCTTGAAAAATTTATCTTCGACAATCGAAAGTCGTGTGGCATTTGCATCATTCTGTGGTTTGCTGTCAGCGTCCTCTAGCGTAAAATAAATAACATTACAAAATAATTATTTAAAAATCACCCCCCAGAGGGTGTGAAACATATGTTTATATTATCCAAATCGTTAACAGATTTATATTATGGGTGCGTAAGGGTTGGATTCGTAAGAGGGTATGTTTCGTTAGTTCAAGTGATACCTCCCCGCGGGGATTTGCGGTTTCAACATATTAATTTAGCAGCTCGTTCAACATCACTATTGGATTTGTTACGTCCGCCCGCCGCCGCCGCGCCACGACCGCGCCACCGCTGTGCCAACGTCGACAACTAATTTGTAAATGGTTTCACTGAGTTAATTAGAAATTTCGGATGATTTATACTATTTGCTAGGTCTTCATTTGTTATGGATAGATTGAGGTTTGGTTAACGAGTTTCATTTGTTATTAAGATCAATAAAACTTTCTTAAAAAGTCTTACGATATTTTCTGAAACTCATGTTTTCTCTGAATCTCTTGTTTCTATCAGTTCAACGGATGAATATTTTCTTTTGAATAGAAAGGTTGCCTAAATGTGACTATAATAAGAGCCTTTATCTTGAAGTGCCTCTTCAAGACAACCCAAGTTTAGAAACCGCAAAAAGGCGACTTACTTAAGGAAATTAGAGTAAGACTCTTGAGAGGCAAATCCTCGTAAGGGGCTTTGAGCCAATCAGAGACAAGCGTGTGATCGCTTATAAGCAGCCAATTTAAAAAGCGCCCTCTTTCTTATGCGCGATGTATTAATATTTTCCAGTCCCGTGCACACTGTAATTGTCGCAGGAGTATTAAAAGTTGCGATTGTTGCGCACGTGTGCAGGGGCCCTAACAATGGACGCGACACCGTCGGGGAGATGCGACTTATATTTTTAGGATAATTAAAATATTTTTGCGATCATCTCAAATTGATGGCGCACATTATCTCGATACCCCGGGGTGTTGATGAAATTGCTAATTTTAAATACAGATTTGTCAAATACTTTATTAAAGATGTTATATGTTATCCATGCAGCCGTTCCGCAAATACTTTCTAACAAACATCCCAATATCACATCTTACTATAATAATATTATACATGTGAATGTTCTGATGGATAGATGTATGTTTGTTAGAAGGTATCTCCGGAACGGCTCAACAGATCTTGATGAAATTTGGCACACATGTAGAAGATGTCTGGAAGAACACATAAGCTACTTATTAAGTTGTTTTAATTCCTCGGGGACGGAGTCGCTGGCGACAGCTGGTTTACAATATCAGTAAAAGATATTTGTTTCATTTCAGTGCCGCTGGTGCGATGTGCGAGCGTGCGGGCTACGGCAGCACGATGGGACACTTCCCAATGAGCCATATGTCAATGGGGGCTATCGGCACGATGGGAGCGATCGCCATGAACGGACAGGCCCAACAAAAGAAAAGCCAGGAGGAGCATATCAAGCGACCCATGAACGCGTTCATGGTGTGGTCGCGCCTACAGCGTAGGAAGATAGCTCAGGACAACCCTAAGATGCACAACTCAGAGATCTCGAAGAGGCTAGGTAAGAATTGATACAAAATCAACTTATTAGGATATCTATGGGCTATGATCACTTCACTATTTTAACAAAATAAGGTTGCTTTACCACTTTATTGAAATTAACCCTTCCCACCCTCTTTCTTATAAGGAAAGGATGGGAAGTGGAAGTGGACTTTCCGGATGAGAGGATGCATGGAATGGGAAAATATTTTCTTTCTGTTCATCCTCTCCTCCGTCGATTAAAGGTAGGCAACGCATATGCAATTGCGTATTTCATCACCTCGTATGTCGTCACCTCGCTATTTCAGCGATTTCAGGTGGCCGCTCGCTCGTTTGCCACCATCTGATATAAAAAAAAATTAACAATTTTAATGTTTACAAACATATCAACGTTACTTTAGATGTTTCAGGTTAAGGTCGAATTTTTAGTTAGTGCTAGAAAAAAGGCGACAGTAAAATAAATCAATGAAAATTTTGAAAACGTACTTTTTAACAAAAGACACTAGTTCGCTATACTTAGGTTAGTCATTGTCAATATTACTAAGGACACTGCACGTACTTTGTTCATAAATATATTAGAATGAAACTAGTATCGATTACATAATAATCGATGAATAACGAATAACATCTCTTATCCAATTTATAAAATTTGAATACTTACTTTTTATAACACAAACCAATAATTTTAATATCAACTTCTATTTTCCTATCGAAATTTCAATTCGATAAACATCCGTTACGATAATATTGTATCAATCTATTCTTAATCAAAATTAAGATTCGTCGGAGATGAATCGACAGTTGTGGTGATATATTGTTGAATAACCAATCAGTTATAATGCAAATAACTCACGGGCCCCCGGTCCTTCATAGACAGTGGTATTTCAATTCCAATCTACATCACGCATATCTAATCTATATTAATATACAAACTAGTGTTAAGTCGGTAGAATTCATTAATTAATATAACGTTCGATAATTAATTTAATTAATTATAATTAATCATAATTAATTTAATTAATAGTAATTAATTTGACACATGAAAGATCTTGCAAAGTAATACAACTCATCATTTGCTTATGCCAACATGTATCTGGTCTAATTAAAATGTTTAAGGCAAATATTATTGTACCAAAATTCCTCGATAACATTACTAAAAGAATTGAAGGGATGGTACTTACTCTACTTACTTGGAAGCCTATCGAATTAACAAGGCTTAAAACTTTTGGAAGTAGTTAGATGTCAAAAATATTAGAATCTGAGTTCTTATTAGAAATTGGGACGTAGACGAAAACTTCCTTCAATGAGATATTTTATCTAGACTAGAAAAGACTGGCAGTGATGTTATGATATAACGTATAATGAACATCACGATACAATCAAATTGCAAAACGATTAAAACATTTAGAACAGATTTAAAATTAAAGCATAGTAAAAAAATTGAACGTCGCACGAAAAAAAAAGAGGGCGCAATCATGCGGCAGGAGCGCCGCAGCGGGACACCGGCCACCGAATTAATCAACGACGAAAAGTAAGCAAAACTCAAGCCCAACACAGAGAATTTAAAAATGTTCAGAGAGAAGAGACAGGGGAAGAGACAGGGGTGGAAGAGTGGGGAAAAATAAAACCGCCGCCGCTGGCCGCCATTCTGCCGGTGACGGCGAGAGGAAGCGCCATTTTCTATTTTTTCCCTCGTTTTTCAACGGTGCCTTGTGCGGTCTGCTCCGCATAGATACACTGTTTACACGTATTGTGTAGTCTCTTGTTAGTTTGTTGATTGTGAAACTGCTACGATATGCTCCACCTGATCGTACATATTAACCAATAAGATAACAGACATCATTTCCCGATCTCTTCAAAATTATGTTGCTCTTAAATCGCTTAGATCATTCTATTTACTTGGCTTACATACAGCAGAGACCATTCAAAGCCAGGAATCTCATTTTAAACGAATAATACTGATATTGGTAAACATGAAACATAAAAACAACTTAACCACTGTTGCTGTACTACGCGGGTTGTAGGAGTTAAGATGGGGAGGGGTTTGTTAAATCAGTTTCTTTTTACGAGCGCATTGTCCTCAACAAACAGCGTATCATTTATTCATGCCATAATTACGTACATCGAGTGCTATTGTAAAGATCGACAAGTTTCATTTTGCAATTTTTAAAACATTTTCACGACCCAGACTAAACCTACTGCTGTCACATTAATATCCACATAATGGACACTATTGGAGTCCCTAATGTAGATTTTAAAACTACACTAAGGGGAACGCTTAGTGACCAATGAAGGCCTTAAAGTGTACTAAGTACAAAGGGTTAGAAGTACATTCTGATTTGAATCATTCTTACAAGTAAGGATCATTCTTATAAGTCTTAAGAATACAATTATTTACGGTTATTTAACCGTTTAAGTAAACCGCAATAACTAAAAATAAAATAAAATGAGAAAAACAAATGACAAAACAAGTTGTCTTGTTGTCAAACGTCAGTATTTTGTTTAACAAATGAATGGAATCATCAATCAAAAACAAACAAAAGATCAAAATAATGGAATATCATTTGAAACCATTTAAAAATGGTTCGTGAATCGAGTACAGATGGCAGATTTGTGTTAATACCTGTCGATAATGAACGGGGAGCATTTCGTTCGCTCCATTGTCTACTCGCATTAATAGATCGGTACACAAAACGTGTTTTGTTCGCGAACCAATCGCGACGTCGAACGCCCGACAAATGTCGATGCGTTCGACAAAGCTGTTCGCGTAATGTTCAATGTTCACTCCCTTCCTATCTGTTCACTATCGAAATATGCAGACAATATAGTATACATACGGATAGAAAATTATTTTTAAAAAGTGAAAATTCTTAAAAAAATAATAAAATTTAATTTAATTTAATGATTAATTGAATTACTTCCAATTCATGATGTAATGTATTTTTTGCACACTGTATTATTGCTTATCTCTGACAATACTTACAACTTGAAACTGATATCAAGAACCAAATCTTACTAATATTATAAATGCGAATTTTTGAATGGTTGGATGTTTGTTAGAAGGTATCTCCAGAACATCTGGAAGAACACATTGGCTACTAATTAAGGTTTCTTTAACTCTCCGAGGACGGAGTCGCAGGCGACAGCTAGACGTAGAATTATTGATCGAGTGTCGAAAGACATATTCCCTTATAACATTTCACAAAAAACAAGTAGTTAACTCTTATCCGCCGTGTGTCGCCGTGTTTGTTTACCTCGCTGTCCGATGCACCAGCGTTCCCTCAATAATTCCCTCCGCCAACTGTTAGGGGCGTCGCTCCGTAGTTAATATTAATTAAGGGTGGGGGTGGTTCATTGTACTTCATGTAATTGCTTTCCATTTATCGTCGAGGTGTCGTACAACCCTAGCAAGACACCTTTATCCTGTCATTTTTTAATTTGTAAGAAATACTTATGTCTTTTGTGTAATAAATACTTAATTGTTTTTAAGCTTTAACGTAACTTTAAAAAACAAAAGAAAGATTAAATTATCTTTAGCTTACCTATTGTAAATGTTTTTAATTTTATTTTTAAATAGAGAATTAAAATTGCTCTTTTTTTAAAAAAAGGTGCTCAATTTTGGCGTGTTATTTAAAAAAAGAATCCATATTCTTGAACTACATCCTTAATACGTTCTTGACTCACTTATATATAGAATAGAGGTTCATGTTATATAATGGTTATATATTACATAACTATTAATTCAACTGTTTTTAATTGTTATTGAGCTTTTTATAAGTTCCTTTTCAAATTGAGTGAATAACACAAAAAGTGTAAACTATCCGAACGAAGTAATAGTTTTTGTTAAGCCAAACATAGCAACCCTATTATCCCCCGATCACTCCTAAAGTCATTACCCCATCTAATCATCCACGCCCCACTGAAACTCGAATTACATAATACGAACATATGTCGCAGTTGGATTCCAATTTACGTCGATTTTCCTCGCTCACTATATACCCAACTTTTTAACTTTTGTAATATTTTTTGTTTCAACCGCCTGCCCCATTTTTTGTGGCTTAAAGTGTAATTAAAGCATAGCGCCAACAATACCGAACGCCATTGGCTCTAATCCAGCATAGAGAAGCATCCAATAGCAGGCACGTCTGTGATCTCACAGCGCGGTGATCGTTCCACAAAGGTGTTTTTCTATCCACGTCAAAGAAACATTGCATCGTCGGATCGAATAACTATGTACTATGCTGCAAGAAATCTATTAAGGGCAAACACGGTGTGAACGCGATGGAATGACTGAGTGTTTTCCTCGCTTTAAACGGGAGCTGGTATGTTGGCAAACGCCACTGAATCGATATGAATGCTGGAACTAATCTATCGCTAGATAGTTTGTGATGATATTTAGAAAAACGTATCTTACAAAATGTTTGTCTTTGGTGTATTCAATACAACATTTGGAAAAATTTCTTCCATTATGTTAGAAATATTAATATTCTAACTTTAAATACTTACGTATAGACTGACAAGGCTATCTGAACCGGTGGACATAAGTGAAACTAAATTATGACAGCTCACTAGCGCCCCCCTGTCAACGTTAAAAATGTCACAAGATCGTCTTCGCACGTTTTTTTGTTTAAGTAGGTTTTATATGTACTGTGACGGAACCAAGCGCGATAGCAGCGCCTCTCACCGGTTCAAACATCCTTGTTTGACCCGGTTTGAAACAAATTCATTATCACACTCAAGAATGTATAGAATCACAAAGATTCGTATGGCCAATTTAAACAAAATTCTTGATTGTTTGATGTGTCAATACGATATGTTCTAAAAGCGCTCGCGCACAAACATCCAACTACTTAAGGAGTCACGGGCACGATCGACAAGAACCGGCTTATATCTGAGCAAACATTTGAAGTGCAGGCGCGCCGATATTGGCCAACGTTAAAGTAAAACCCAAATATCGATTCACCGACGCAAATAAGAGAATGGAAAGGATCAAAGTCTCAATCTCAGCTGTCAATTCAACGCATCAAAAAATCTTACAATTATTTTTGAATCATAAACAAATCTGGCTGCTAAGGAAGGAAACACAAAGAAACCTAAAGATGGTCTCCATTAAAGTTTCAAACGAGATATATAATACTTTTTTCTTACACTGTTCTGCAATGTATATGGAAGGGATATAATGATATTTTCTTTCATTATAAGTACGTGGATGTATTGTAGATTTCTATTATTTCGTTACGAATTGAAAGTTATTGTTAACGTTTGTTGTGTTTTTTGAGTTGTGCTTTCGTTATGTTTTTTGTTATTCTTTCCAGTGCTGATTATATTTATATAAATGAAAATATCATTGTATTTTATAACGATGTGATTGCGAATTTTAATGTAACGCAAAGAACTTCTTGATGCCACTAAGATACGAAGACAACCGTGAGGTGCCATGTTTCTTGCAAGAAAAATTCCTCTACTGAAATATTCATACAATATCATATTGTTACCTTAGGTTTTTTCTTAAGAAAAATCAGTGTTTCGACAATCAACATTAGATTATTATTTATAAAATAATATCAACAACTTCAACTGCCTCGTATTCTCTCTTCGAATAGCTCTCTTAAAATGAAACATTCAAACTAATTTCATTTCTAAAATGTTTCCTTACACATTCAATAATCATTGTAAAAATTGTTATCGTCACCACTGAAACACATTTACGTCGATTCACCGAAAACCAAAAAGAGAAGCTATTAAGATTTAATAAAATCATGACCTAAATACCATTTCTTACCATTTCAATTTTCCGGACGAAAGGGTGGCGCGCCTTCACCGTGCCGTCTTTGTTGCTCCCCCCCTCCCGAACCTTCCCCCCACCCCGGTGCCACCCCCGCCGGCCCATTGTCGCACGGCACACAAGCTTTCAAAGTAATGAAGAGCATTTTCGTCCGATTCTGAACACAATGGCCGTTTTAATACAACGCAGAGAGGAAACTCTTTGTCGTGTTGTGTATTGTGCCCAATGCGAGTGTGTTACATACGCCCCGTTGTTTTTTGTCTTGCTCTTTGTTTGTGCGATTGTCGTTGACAAAGATACGTAATGTAAAACATCTCTGTCGCGACATTACCGCCGGCTTTCATGAGCGACTCGCGAACTAACAGCTACGAGCTGATTCGCATTTCCAATCTGCAATCGACTTCACTTAGGGAAATGACGTTTCTTCTGTTTGAAGTTGTTTACAATACATTATTATTGTATCTAGAAACGTATAATAAGAAATATTTCTATGTAAATGTTTAATTATTAAGTAATATTATATTTTAAAATAAGAACTTTTAAGCCGAGTCTGTTGGTGGAATTTGCGTGTGAAAATTACTCTATCAAATAGCAATAGTTTTAATCATGTACCAATTCCACGACATTCATTTGTCAGGTATAGTATCGTCATAAAATTTCATGTGTATTAAATCGTTTGATACCTCTTTACGCGTCTGTGAGAGGCAATCATTGCTCTGTGTTGCCGTTGCCATTGTTTGCCGAGAAGGCGGGCTGTAGGAAATAATTATTGTAGAGTGGCAACACTTTGCAGTGACGGCACGTGTCCCCGGCGAGTTCGATTGGCAATTGTTAATTAAATTTGGAATAACTGACTATTCAGTACTTTAATAAAAAGTATTTTAGGGACAAAATTTAACTTGAAAGGGTGTTGTATCGATTTCCCATACGTTATGTAAGCTTTCATTCACACAGGCGCTTTTTATCGCGCGTTAAAGAGTTTGAATAGAACAAATGTATTTCCATGTAACTTGATACGGAAGCGTTTAAACGCGGCACTTTTTTTATCGCGCATTTGCATTTTCAGCGCTGGATGAACAGGACAAGAGTAATTTTAAAGCGTTCTTCACTCAGGTGCCCCTAATGCTGAGTTTTAACGCGGCGTCAAAAAAGCGCGCGTGCGTATTAGGGCTAAAGGTTTTGTTAGCCTTAGAGAAGTTTTCATAGTTACATAAAAGAATTGTAGCAAAACTAGAACACGTATAGGTAAGATTAAGTATAGACCTACCAATAATTCGTCCAGTTTTTTTAATTTACTTACAAAAAGATGAAACAAATGAATGTAATATACTTAAAGCAATAAAATTTAACATAAATAATGACCTAATGAATAGTAACCTAACGAAGAGCGTCGGTGGCTCAGTGGTCAAGCACTTGACTTGCAATCTGCAGGTCCTGGGTTCGAATCCCGCCATGTACCAATGTGTTTTTCGATTTCCGATTTACATATGTACATTTATCCAATGTTCTTACGGTGAAGGAAAGCATCGTGATGCAACCTGCACATAACTGTGAAGAAATTCAAAGATATGTGTGAAGTCAACCAACCCTGACTAGGTCAGCGTGGTTGACTATGGCCTAATCACCCTTAACTTAGGGCAGGCACCGAGCCTCTCGGTGGGGACGTATAGTGAGCTGATGATGATGAATAGTAACCGAAGATATATGTATAGTGTAGTCGTATTGAGACGTGGTACAGAAACAATTCATAACACAGAATACTTTACACCAAATGCTAAAACTATAATTTGCATTAAACAAACAAACAGAAACATTAACAATCGTCATATCAACGTTCAGTGCTGCATTAACATCACAATTACTCGACTCATTGTCATCCGAAACAAAGGCATAGGGAAAAATTCTTAGCAACATTTGTCCTCCTTAGGCTGACTACAGTGTCGACATTGTGCGACACAATACGCACAAAACCTGCGAGTTGGAGCGACAGCCGTGCACCGTGTACTATTGTTGGAAAACGGGAAATCGCGAAGCTTCAAGACACATCATTGTCGTTGTAAGGCCCCGCGTATGTTTTAGCCGGCGCGGTATTGTGCAATGCAAATGTCTCCGTTGTTATACGAGATGATGTGTAATTAGTTTGCTTTATTGATAACTGAATAGTTCGTTTACATGCAAATTTAGTTCGGCCGCTGTGGAGCGTGTTTCCATTGCGTTTTAGTATTGTTTGAAAATGTTGATTGGTGTTACGTAGTTAGGCTTGCGCTTTAATTTGCACGTATTTATCAACGTAAACAGATTGACGTGAATATTTCACGTATATTTATTGTGAAAAAGCTTTGCTTTATAACGTCTCTAAAAGATTTTAGAAAAGACAAACTATCAAGAGGGAAAAATTTTTTAGACGGAAATAATTTTTTAACAAAATTTAGGTCAATTTTTTCACTGTAAACGCTTTAGAGTTGTCCTGTTTCTCGGTTTGATTATGACCTAAAACAATGAATATAGTGTATCAGTTAGAAATATCATGAATGCATACCTAACGACCGCGCCGTGCTGGCCGTCCCACAGGCCGACAAAAGGCAGCCTCCCCAAAGTATCGACAGAATAATGAGGATCCGGGAAAAACTTGTGTAGCGGAATGAAAAGCGCAAATTCGTCATTAGGAGGCGCTTTCCGCCATTGTTGTATGCGTCCCTTTTCTATAACAGATACTCCGCGGGGGTGGGAGCGAGAGGACAGTACTGTCGGATTGTTCCTTTCAATGTTGGTGACATTGTTTTCGCTTTTGTGCTCGCCTGAATCAGGATTGTCTTGTCTGTTTGAATGGACGGTGGCGCCCCTCCACGGTATCGATGGGATGAATAAAGCCTTCCCATAAATGGGGGGAGACAAAGGGTTGGTCTCTTGAATCGAGCTCGGCTGGTCGCCGTGCTTTCGATTATATTGTATCGATTGAAAGGCTTTGTGTCCGCAATGAGGGATGGTTTAAGCAAATTACTTTACTCTTTTTATCTCAATGGTACAATAGTTTGAAACTTCATGATTCCATTTCAGTGATCAAAGTCGTGTTCATTAAATCTAGATTAATAATATTTAATATAACAAGGTTGTACTTTTGCTATCCGAATATTTAACTCTTAAATGAGTTTTGAGACAAAACTCATGTACAATATTAGGTTATTACGTTACATAAAAACTTATTTGACCATGTAATGCTTTTTTCTTCTCAATTATTCGGCTTTAAGGTTTCAATTACCTATATCGTTTTCTCTTGAGAAAGTGGATAAGAAAAGTTTATTTAAAAACTAGTGAATGATTGTAAAGCAACTTTACTTTTCATAGGTGCAGAATGGAAGCTTCTATCAGAAGATGAGAAGCGGCCCTTCATAGACGAGGCGAAGAGGCTGCGGGCCATGCACATGAAGGAACACCCAGACTATAAGTACAGGCCGCGGCGGAAGCCAAAGACCCTCAGGAAGGAGGGATACCCCTACTCCATACCCTACCCCAGCGTGCCTATGGATGCGCTCAGAGCTGGTAAGTCTGTCACACCCCTTACTTGCTTTTAAGCGTTTCATGGAACACGGCAGACGGCAAATGGCAGTAATTGCACTATCGCAAAGTTAAGAAAAAGTGCCATTCTTTCTCAGCCGTAAGTCGTCCACTGCTGGGCATAGGCCTCCCTCAAAGATCGCCACGACGATAGGTCCTGTGCTATCAGTGCCATACAAATTAATGTTCTAAAATAATGCTGCTTGTTATAAAACGTGCCACATTGTATATATAAATACTACAGTAGTCCAATATAAGAACAAGAAAGGTATCTCTACCTAATCGTCTACATTTAGTCCTGCCACATATCGTAGAATTTCATGTAGAAAATGTTAAGAGAGAATCCAAAGGACCGATATATTTTTTTCGTTAATAAAGGTTTTTCTCTTACCTGAGATTCTCGCTTATTTGATTCTCGCGTTGTCCGTCGAGACATTGACTCTTTCACACTTATCCAGATTCCACTGTGATAAAATTGTAATTCTTCTTCTTCTCTTCTAGTGCCTCTTCAGTCTTGAAGGTTGGCCGCTAACTTGGAATATTTGGTTCTGACAAGCGCAAGGCGAAACAGTTCCTCTGCTGACCTAATCCCCGTCCACTCCCTAATATTACGTAGCCACGAATTTTTCCTACGTCCAGCGCGTCTCTTGCCGTCAATCTTGCCCATCATTATCAACTGAAGTAACTAAAAATAAGTAAAATTGTAATACTTTAGAATAACTATTCAATTTACTATTCATAATAATCATCAGTGAATACAAATTAGCTAACAAATCAAATATCATTTAAAACAGAATATTTTACGTTACAGAAAGGCTTAGCATCAATAAAACACTTGTTCAAACATTTGTTCAATTGTTTGAAAACATTAACAAACTTTACTAATAGTTTATAAACTGAATAAAATCAGAAGAACAGAGAGAGAGAGTTTTTAACAGTGGTAGAGTCCAATTTAACATCTTCGCACGAATTGGCCCGGCTCGCCCGGTGAAATACCACGACTACACAGAAGACAGGCGTGAAGTGAAAGCAATTCCGCGTTTCGTCTGATGAGTGTGCGTCCCGGAGGCCTAATTTAGTCCTCTTTCCCTTCCCACCCTTTTTCTTATAAGGAAAGGATGGGAAGTGGAAGTGGACTTTCCGGATGAGAGGATACATGGAAAGGGAAAATATTTTATTTCTGTGCATCCTCTCCTCCGTCGATTAAAGATAGGCAACGCATATGCAATGCAATTGCGTATATCTATGGGCAACGGTCACTTCGCTATTTCAGCGATTTCAAGTAGCCGCTCGTTCGTTTGCCACCTTATGATATATATAAAAAAAGACAGGTCATTGATTGGGTAAAAATTGTTACATTAAATTGTCTGAGCTATTAAAAAAATATATCATATAAATTGTGTGATTACTATTTATTTCTAGATGTGATATCTAAACGAAAATATCAAAAAAAATGTGAAAAAAATTGTCTTTACAAATTGTATTTCAAACGCCATCTTTTAGAAAAATATGAAACTAAAACATATGTATAATCCTTTTTATTAAATACAAGCTGTCGCCCGCGACTGCGTCCGCGCGGATATATAAAAAAACTTAATTAATGTAGCCTATGTGTATTTTCAGACTATGTTCTATACGTATGCCAAATTTAATCGAGATCCGTTCAGCGGTTCAGAGATATCTTCAAACAAGGATATGCTCTTCAAGGCATAAATTCGAAAAAAAAATTAATAAATATTATCCTATGTCCGTCTTCTGTCTCTAAGCTACCTCCTCACCAATTTTCAGCCATATCGGTAAAGCCGTTCTTGAGTTTGAAATATTGTAACTAACACGACTTTCTTTTATTTATATAAGATTTATTTTTAAATATCAGTACAAATTATGAGAAGTAAGGAATATTCGCACGCTCATCTAAGACACCACTTTTGATAATATTAACTATTATAAAATAAACTTGCCAATATCTAATTTACTTTCCAATAAACAATTACAACGCACGAGTTTAAGCAGTTAATGTTTTACTATAGCCGTGTCACTCTGTCTTTTATTTTTTACATCAAATAATTAAACTTCATTTGACACGAACTGTCAGAGTTGTTTGTTTTTAGTCGGAAAGGCGCACCGCAACCCGCCATTATGCGCTGTAAAATACTGTTGGCTTTATAACATTCTGTTACAGATTATCAACGAAAAAATCGCTGCGATGTTACAAATGAGCTTTAATGAAGATAATTTTAATTTAACCTTAGGTTTTTTTAATTCGTATTAGCCTTTGTTTATGGTAAAACGTTTATTCCTTATCGTATAGCGATGTTCGACGAATTTATAATTATTTAAAGCTCAGTAATTTAGGTCTGAAAACTTAACGTCTTCTAACATTTAATTATGCACAAATTTTGAAGTATCATTAGAAGTTGCTCAGATGTTTTATAATTATTCTATTTTACTGTTATACGTAAACTACGTTCGTTACTTAGAGAAAATGTTAGGACAAATTTAGAAGTAATAAGTCCCATGCCACTAAAATTTACCAAAAATATAATCAAAAAATTTATCATACTTAATCAACAAACCGATGAACAGTGATGAAAAATGATGATGTTTTCAATATTACAATGTAATCGTTGACCCCTTTGTTTCGTCTACAATATTTTATATTTATAAATTTCATCTCCCTATCAGAATGTACTACTGTCACCTTACTTGGCCAAGTGCATTTGAAGACTAAACGCGGCACAGTACCGCCGCCGCGCCGTGCCGGCCGCGACAAAAACCACGTACTCAGTCACGATTTTCACTCGTGACTCCCAAACTAAGACGCAATAAAAGACAACTTGTTCTTTTATAAATACAATCTTTTGTTATAAAACGTATCCATTATTGCACTAACGGGATTACCGCGACTAATAACAGCAGCAATAATAAAAAATACTTGCCCAGTCATTGTCGCGAGCACGCACTAAACAGTACATTTGGTAATCGAATTTTAACAAGTACCTACATTCTAAAATATTTGATATCTCGCTTGAATCTTTCTTACTCGTAAACATTACTACAAGAATCAGGTTTTAACAGTGAAAGAGCCCGCTTTAACATCTTCACACGAATTGGCCCGGCTCGCCCGGTGAAATACCACGATCATACAGAAGACAGGCGTGAAGTGGAAAAAATTCCGCGTTTCGCCTGATGAGTGTGCGTCCCGGAGGCCTAATTTAGTCTTCTTTCCCTTCCCACCCTTATTCTTATAAGGAAAGGATGGGTAGTTGAAGTGGACTTTCCGGGTGAAAGGATGCATGGAAGGTAAAATATTTTCTTTCTGTGCATTCTTTCCTCCGTCGATTAAAGATAGGCAACGCATATGCAATTGCGTATGTCTATAGGCAACGGTCACTTCGCTATTTTAGCGATTTCAGGTGGCCGCTAGCTCGTATGCCGCCACCTTATGATAAAAAAAGGTTACATCTTTTTATATTTTTTTATGTACCATCTTTATTTACAACATAACAAGGTATTTGTAGTATAAATAAACTCAAAATACTTACAATAAACTCCTTTGATAGAACTTATCTGATTGATGTTTTCCATAAGGTTAAACAGTGAATCAAACAAGTGCCAACATGACCCCAAACAAAACTATTTTACTCCGATATTGAACCGCAGTAACAGCATTACATTTACCCTCATTGTAACAACGGCGCGATAATACGCGAGTCCGCAAAACATCCCTTTCAACGTCTAACGCGACCCCAAACTGGCCTTTAAAAAGCGAAAATTTTCAATAAGTTTAATCGCGTGTCAACCGGGGAACTTTGACGTACCCCCGCAACTAAATCCATTGTCCCCTTCTCCCCCGCCCCAGGGCTTTGACAGCGAAAACTGTCAACTGTCAAAAGCAGTCAAGGAGGTTTAAACTATGCAGTAGTGAACGGTTCTGCGTATTTGGTTCTCTATTGTTGGATAAAAGGGAATTGAACGTTAGACCTATACGGCTTTGTGTAAGGTATTGCAAGGGAGTCTTCATTTTTACTTGGGAATAATCCCTAAGTTATATGTAGTAAGTGTTACTATATTTCTAGACTAGATATAGACCAAAAGAAATAAAGAAATAGTAGGATGTGTTTGGAAATCTTAACTTACCTTGCCTCAATAATATTTTAACGATACTGAAGATTATGAATAATATTAACAAGTGGTATAATAAGTAATAGCCGAAAAAGCGACGGGCCGCGTCCGCGACATAATATCAGTCCCACTCACCCCGATGAAGGGCCCCCGATGGGCTCGAAACTAGTCGGTGACGCCACCGGACGAATATACGTGAGTGTTTAGCCGTTTTTATATCAGTTTATTATAATGTCTCACGAAATTTTGAATAATTTAATAGATTTAATATGACTAGGTTTTCAAAAATAGTTATAAAAAGTATCTCGATAACAATTATTCAGTTACGTAACAGTAGATCCAATGTTTTATTTATAAGTATCAACTGTCCCTCGTAACTTCGTACCTGTCACGAACGTACCCTAATCAGTCCGTAACGTTCTCTATTGTAGTCTAACCTTGACTTTAGACTTAACTTAGAGGTCTGTGAGCACGTGAGATTTGACTTTTTATAACATCCCAAGGCTTAATAATAAACTAAGTGCTTAATTACATAATTTCAAGAATATAAAATTCAAAATAAGGCAATCGTTAACAGAAGAAAAATAAATTTGGACTCGAAAGGTCACGTGTTATTAATTCTAATGTCTTTAGATTGTTATTTAATAATTGTAGTGAAATAAGTAACAGAAATTAAGAGGCAAATTATCAAAGAATTTGTCTCCATTGGCAAGGTCATTGAACTCGCATCATGACCGCGCGACCGGCCGAGCGGAACAAGCGAAAGCCTTCCGAGAACCAGACGAAAACAAATCAATTGAAGTGGACTTAAAGAGCAATGTGCACGATCACATTTTTTTCACTTACTCTAACATTAAAAA